CCAGCCCCCACTGTGTAGGTGATGGAGAATGATGTTCATATCTAGCCTCTGCCTTTCCCTCGTTTCATTCACTCTCCTCTTATGGTCAGAGGCTCCAGGATACGGCTGAACAGCCTCTGGAAGCCAGTGGGGTCCTCGGCGATGATAGAACAGGCAGAGGAGGCAGGTTTGGGTTGTCTTTTCTGTCCCACTCTGCCTGGGCCTCAGACACTGCGGGTGGGCCCACACATCTCCCATGGAGCCTGAGCTTGCACCTCAGCTGTCTGGTGTCCTCAGCTGAACCAGAGCCACATGAGGCTTAAGGTCAGACAGAACCGAGGGCAGCTCCTCTCAAACTCTCACCGAGGTAATCCTAATGATGGTGAACAGGCCCCTGGGTGTACATTCTTAGCCCAAAGTGACTCTCAGCAAACCAAAATAACTTAACTGAATCTTAAATGCAGGCAAATTTTGCATTTTATGTTAATACTGTGTGTGTGTGCACACGCGCGTGTGTGTACAATGCTTTAAATGACCTACCACTGGAGGCCTGTATGAGGCTCCATAATTAACCTGTGGCTCTGTATTTCCCTAGTATAACCTAGTTATACTCCAAAGTCGAGAAGCTTTGGAGAAGACTGGCCCCAAGGTGTGGGTGTGAGCATTGCTCAGTTCCTTATTTCTAGTCCACTTGGTCTGAAATAGAACCAGAATGAAGAGTCATGGCCCGGGGGAGTAGGCATAAAGCTTAGGATCCTCCAGAGAGTAAGGATTAAAGATTCTCAGATACACTGGCGGGATAGATAGTGCCCTGGTTGATTTAATTAAGTTAGGAGGCACTCGGTGACCACTGTGATCTCGTGGGGCCAGTAAATCTGCGCTTTTCCACCCAAAAATGGCACTCCAAGAGGAAGCCGTATGCTTCTCTGCCCTGTGTTTGCTTTCAGCTGCTGCTGTGAACTTTCTCCTACTCCCACGCAAACCCCTTGGGAGCCCACCCAGAATAAATGAAACTTTCCCAAGGTGGTGTTCAAGCTCCTCTATGAATGGCTGTGTGTCTCTAAAAGACAAAAGGGAAAATAAAGGCCACACATTGAAACTTCCTACATGCCAAGTGCTGCGTTAAGGACTTGACTCAACGCAGCTCATTTTTGGTGTGGGAATCACATCCCCCATTTTACAAATAAGACAACCAGAGTTTGGAGAGTTCAAGTTATTTGCCTTCAGTCTGATAGTAAGTGGTAAGGCCAGGATTTAAATCCAGATCTGGTTGATTGTGAACTCTGGCTCATTACCACTATGCTTTCTGTCTGGACAGGAGAAAGGAGGGAGCAATTGGGAAGGTGCCCAAAATGCAGAGCCGAAAAAGAGGAAAACTGGGTTCCGTGAGGAAACCATGGCCCACAAGTAATAGAAAGTCGTGGGGCATGCCGGGTCCCAGAAGTAAAAACATGTTTCAGAGCTTCCCCCCTCCTCGCACCCCTCCAGGCATCTAAAATACAACTGTGACCAGGTCACTACCCTGCTTCAAAACCCTTCAATGGCTTTCCATCCAGCACAGGGCTGGATCCAAACTCTTTACCCAGCAATCAAGGCTTTTGTGGCCTCACCTCAACCAACTTAGCCTCCTCTCCCTCACCATGCTGGGTGCAGGTCTGGTTCCCAGACTCACTTTCAGGCCTCTGTAATTGCTCTCACCTACAAGCCCTCCTTGGCCACAACATCCCCCACCCTGCCACCCCCAGCCCATTGCTTTTGAGGCTCCTTCCCTGAAAGTCGCCTCCACTGGCTCCCCTGCCGAGGTGGTCCACTCCCTCCGCAGTCCCTCCGAGCCTTGGCTTCGTGCACAGTGCAGATCAGCGCTGCCTGGCAGCTCTGGTCACCCCGCTGGCCTGCGAGCCCCATCCCAAGCTCGTCAGCGGCTGCCCAGCGGGGAACTCCCAACCTTATATTCCACAATTCGCACTTCATTAAGACAAGTTACTCAGCCTCTCTCGGCCTGGGCTGTCTCATCTGTAAAACAGGAGAAGCAGGCTCTACCCCATAGCATTGTGAGGGTGACATTTGAGGATACAGGCAAAGCTCAGAGCACTTTGGCACTTACTAGGTGCGCATCTATGTTAGCTACTGATGATGAATAACGCCGGTGACGACTGTTTTAGAGTACAGGGGGGAGTCTGCCCTCAAGCCCTGGTATCTCCCAGCCTGGGGAGGAGAGGGGAGCAGTCGTTTTTAGGGTTGTAGAGGTCATTCATTGGAAGCAGAGCAGCTTTGGTCTGAGCTAGCCTGGCCTGGAGTGAAGCACAAGGCACCAGGGCCTCTCTGGTCCCTTCCTCCCACTCCTCCAGGTTAGACCAAAAATATCGCAAGGAGAGTCCGAAGGGGGTGAAGGTCGCGTCCGGGGATTCGAGAATTCGTCCAGGGTCGCCCCAGTGAATGTGTCGGGCTCAGGGACCCAGCGGAATGCCAGCAGCCCCCCCCA